CAAATAAATAAATAAAATCTTCAAATGAGGTAGGGATAGTGAGTCAAGAAAGGGAACCACACAGAAAAGCACCTTCACACCCTAGGGATGTGGTTTTGGAAGAGCGTGATAAATAGTATGCTTCTCTCACACTGACACCGTAAGCCTTTGTTTTATCAGAGTTCTGTGGAAATTTAGTGTCTCATCTTCAGTTGACAAGGACCCCGGGCCAAATATATGATAGAGTTAGAGCTGAGGGTGGTGAGGCAGAGACGTGCTTACGCAGAACCGGCAGAAATTGCCCTGGGAGGTTGAGAAAATCGTGACAGGGAGCAGGTGGATTCAGGGGCTGCTACAGGACAACAGGCGGTTTCCTGACCCCGCCTTCATTCCCAGGGTGTTTATACCTGTGGCAAATAAGATTTTAATTTGCTTTTAATTTCCACAGCCTTAATACACAGCATAACATCTCAAAGCACATGGACTACTTCATAGTCTCTAAAGCCAATTTGGTTCAAAGTTTGAAAAGTAGGTATTTCTTCTTCCTCAGAGGAATTCTTCTCTTACCTCCCAGATCTTCTCCAGCTGTTCAAGGATGTTGGAAACCCCAGGAAACAAAGGTTGACCCTGGAACATTTCAATAAAGATGCAGCCTGCGCCCCTAGCAAAGGAAACAAGAGTCGGCCCAACACGTTCAAGGAAACAATACATGCGAAAGTGAACCGCTAGTATTTCTCCTTCCAGTAAATATTTGGGGGGGTTAAACAGGGGCCACATGCTATTAAAAGTCTTGGGAAAGAAAAAAAGAAAAAGAAAAGAACAGTCTGCAGCTTTTAGTTAAAATGATATGCAGCCAGCGTTTAGGAACACAGTAAAGATAGCAAACATTTCAGCTCATTCAAGTTCATTATCCATTTTATGAGAAGAGGCAAAAGTACTGAACCTCCAAATTGAATGCTCTCTTTCACGGAATCTAAGATGCTATCATTCATTGTAAGAGGCACCCTTAGTGTAAATAACATATTAAGAAGAAAAACTCCTGCAAGTTAAACCATGACACAATCAGAATGCTCCTTTTACAGCTATTGAAAGGGCTATTATAAATTTAATTGGACAGATTATTTTATCACATATCATACTTGTACTTGCAACAAATGGAACATTAAGTGAAATAAATTGGTTTGGGTACTCCTAAAACTTTTTTACATTAGCATTTGACTCAGACTCTTTGATGTCTGTTTTTATCCATGGGATCATCCTCTATATCAGGAGTTTGATGATGCAGCATTTCTTAAAATAATCCATAAGAAAACTAAGAGTCATCGGTCCTGGGTTCCTAAGCTGACCTTGCAATTACGTAGAGTTAACCTACTTTTGACTCCTGCTTAAAGAATGTTACTAAACTTGTCTGATTCACTCCCTCTCCACAACCGTTTGGTTCCTAGTTAAAAAAGAAGGAAGAAAAAAGAGCTCTCCTGTCTGCAAGACTTTCTTCCAAGTCACTGACGACCATTCTGCAATCTTTGATGCTGGCATTTGATGTTCACACATGTGCAAAGGTACCTACAGTCCCAGCTGCAGCCTGGCTGATGGCCCTGGTAAAACGCTACTGATTAAAAGGTGCATCCTATTTAGCAGAGAGTGGGCATCTCAAAATGGGTGAAATATAAAATTTATTTCCTCTGTGGTCGAACTGGAGCGTAATTCCTGAGGGACAGTAAGGGTTAAGATTTATTTTGCTAATAATACACATTTTTATTCATATAAGTCTTTTGAGAGATAAAAGTGGTCCAGGTGACAGATTACAGTGATTATCCTCATGGTCCTATCCTTTCACTCCAAATTCTTTGCACTTAAAACACATAATTTTGCAAACTCCCTTAATCATCCTGACATTTTCTTGTGTGGCATGATAAAGAAAGATAGTTAAGTAAAATACTTTATTATAGATGACCATATTATTAAAAATTTATTACCAAGTTCATTTTAAATATGGTCTTTAATATTATTCATATGTATTTATTACATATGATAACTTTTCATTTTTTCCATTGGATTGCAGACACACGCTATTTAATTTCACTTTAAATTGCTTGTGGAGGAGAAAGCAGATTTCTTGGTAAACAAGTTTAAGAATGTGTCTGGTTTGAGGATAGAATTTATATTAAAAAGAAAATTGAGGGGTGCCTGGTGGCTCAGTCAGTTAAGCGTCTGACTTCGGCTCAGGTCATGATCTCAGGGTCCTGGGATTGGCTCAGCATTGGGCTGCCTGCTCAGAGGGGAGTATGCTTCTCCCTCTCCCTCTGCCCCGCCCCCCCAACTCATGGGTGCTCTCTCTCCCTCTTAAATAAATAAATAAAATCTTAAAAAAAAGAAAAAATGAAAATCGAAACATCATTGTATCTTATCATGTCAAAAAAGATAAAAACTGTTTTCATGACTATTTGGTTTGCATTTAAAATAACCAACTGGCTTATTTTCAGAATTATGCACATATGTAAATAAAAGATATCAAATCATTGGCAATTTTTAAAAAGCCAATTTGGATACAGTGGCCACCATATTTACTTTTTAATTATTTTTCATGTATTAGAGACATCTTGATATTTGATATAAGAATTTTGATCAGACAAATATAACTTAAGAATCTGGCGAACAGTATCTTGAGGTGAATTTTTAGAATTATTGCCATTGTAAAGCTCCTCACTAGCTTGTATTTTAAAATCCATTTTTTTTGTTATTTCTTGTCTTTAAAGCACCAGATATAAAAGGTAGGAGTTAAACAATATACGGAGGAGAATAAAAGTAATAGAAAACTGTCAAATGGTCAAAAACCATCCTGATTGCGAGCAATGGTCAATTATGAGATAAGCCAACTAGGAAATCGAGTTGGTGAATGCCATCAAATGGTCTCCACCCACTGCTTTCTCTGTATGTGCTTGAAAGGTCTCAAACCACTTCATTTTGAAATGAAAAAATGTGTGTGTGTGTAAAACATATGTAATTGTATATTAACTGCTCTGAAATAGAAATGGAAATGTGTTGGTTTTTGAAGACTTGAGCCAACCTTCCATCCAGTACCCTAACACCTACCAGAAACGCCAGGGGTCACAAGCCACCAGAAGGCCTGATGGTATATTTTATTTTATTTTATTTTATTTTATTTATTTATTTTTTTGTTTCTGATGGTATATTTTAAACAAGGTTGAAAACCAAGGTCATTACCAGGTTTAAACCTGCAGTCCACTTTTTTCTTCTCTTCAAAAGGTTTTCATTGCTTGGGAAAAACTTGTTTTTTCATAGTAGTAGCTGTAGGAAACCAAGAAGGAAGTCCTTTTGTGAGCAACTTCTTAGTGTCCTTTGTCTTCTACTCCGCTAGGACAGTGTACAGAATTATGTAAAATATTGGAGACGTTCAGGCCATTATGCAAGTAGTACAAGGTGTTTGTGTTACAGAATAATATGTTAACATTTGGTTGAAATTCTCCATTTGCATTCGTATGGTTGGTGTGTTAGCGGCATTCTCGAGTCTTTCTTTTTAAGTTTCACCTAGGGGTAGATTAAAACCTTTCTCACCTAACAAATATAGAGTCTAAGTTTACTTGTTTATATTTTTAATATTTATATACATATATATATATAGTGTGTGTGTGTGTCTGTGTGTCTGTGTGTGCACACACACGTGGGTGCCCATGTGCTTACTTGGACACTTGCAAGACAAACAAAATTCCTAAATCAATTATATTTCAGTACCTGGAACATCCGTAAGTACCATAAATATCAATGCATTGGTAAGAAAATAAATCCGTGCACTTTAAGTTTGAAAAACAAAAGATGCTTTCTAGACGTAAGCATTGTTCTTTAAAAACTATACAACTCATCTTCTGATTTTTTTCATTTGTTCTTCAGAGCTACTGTATTTTTTAATTTGCTTTGTAAACAAGTTGAGTGGCTATTGTCTATTTTGTCCACCCCCAGCCTAGCCTTAAGCAAACATTTAAAATATTCTGAACATTTAGGTCCAGATAGGAAACCAGCTCCTATTTCTTTTTACTCCTCTGCTTTGTTCTTAAATCTTCATCCTCTGGCTCTTCTTACCTCCTCTTCTTCCCCTTCCTATCTTTAAGCTGCTCAGAGGATTTCTGCTCTGTGGAGATACCCTTGGGGCAGACCATGTAGATGAAGGGGAACTTCCTTTGCAGGGTAAAAAGCCCCCATGGCGTCAACCAGTGAATCCTTCCAGAAAGGAGAGATGCACTGGGTCATTTTATTGTTCCAACTGTGGCTCTTCAGTCAAGTTAGAGGAAACAGCTTATGTTTTTTGCTTTTTCTGGCTTTCTTTCTAATTTTTCCTCTATTCTGAGCATGAACAAATTCTTCCCTAAGAGAGTAAAAGATTCTTCAAATTCCTTAGGCAATCTCTGGGGAAATCAACCATCTCAGGAGTTTTAGGTTTTTCAGAGGTGTAAAGAGCATACAAAAATGTTGTTGGGAGAAATGGATCAGTATTTCATTTTTCACTGTTGAAATTAATTCAGTACAACATAATGTATGACAGTGACATGACATTTCCATTTGCTTTTCCCTGGGCCACTCTTTATATTTGGAAGTTTGCAGCAGGAAAAATCTGCAATCTCTCAGGCAGGAACAACTTTTCATAGTCCTAAAACCAGCAGCTGCCTGAAGTCAGTTTTGAATAGTACACGTTGTGTGCCAAAATAAGTCCTTTTTTAAAACCCAGTTTACCCCAACACGGATGAACCTTGAAAACATTATGCTAAGTGAAATATACCAGACACAGAAGAAAAATATTGTATGACTGCACTTAAATGAAGTACCTAGAAGGGTTATATTCATGGAGACAGCAGGTAGAATAGGGGTTGGGGGAAGGGAGTAATAGGGAGTCTTTGTTTAATGGGTACAGGGTTTTAGTTTGGGATGACGAAAAGTTTTGGAGATGGATAATGGCGATGGTTATACTACAATGTCAATGTACTTAATGCCACTGGATTGTACATTTTAAAATGCTTAAAATTGGGGTGCATGGGTGGCTCAGTTAGTTAAGTATCTGACTCTTGATTTTGGCTCATGATTTCAGGGTTGTGGGATTGAGCCCTGTGTCAGGCTCTGCGCTCAGTGGGGAGTCTGCTTGAGGACTGTCTCCCTCTCCCTCTTCCCTCACTCATACTCTCCCTCTAAAATAAATAAATAAATCTTAAAAAAATAAAATGGTAAATTTTATGTGTATTCTAACACAATACAAAAAAGGTAAAAAACAAAAACAAAATGGTGTAATTATCCTAAAACATTGAGTTTTCTCACTGAAGTTGCTAATAGAATCTTTTAAGGTTTGAAAAGGTGGCAGAAAGAAAGAAGAAACGATGATGGGAGATGAGAGAGCATTGGTATTAAGTGCTGGGAATAACCAGTATGTCCTACTTGTATGTTTTCCGTAGTCTAACTGTTTGCTCTGGGCCCCCACTGACACTGCTGTCACCTGGGCTCACTGTGAATGAGAGGCTCCGGCACTCTGGTATCATTAGTTTCTTTAAGACGAAGGCTCTAATGCTCCCCCATGGTCATCTGCCTCTTAAAATGCACTCAATTTGGGGCACCTTGGTGGCTCAGTCGGTTAAGCATCCGACTCTGGATTTTGGCTCA